AAGAGTGAGAGGTGTAAATCCTGCTTTACTGGGAGAGAGAGTGAGGCAGGTGCAGGCAACTCATTGCTAATTAATCCCAGACACTCATTAATTTATCGGCGCCGCCGCAGCTCCCAGATAGCAGTAGGAGAGCGCTGCAGGGTGCTCAGTACAGCACTGGCGCTGAAGTACGTGGGGAGATGGGAGTGGAGAGCTAACTAACTGTTGTGCCTGAGGCAAAAATGAGAAATAGGAAGAATTGCGGGGACAAAGTGCCTCCCAACCCTCGGCCCTAACAGCTCAGGTCAGTCTGCCTCACCAGAGCCGTCAGGCTGGGTAGTAGGAGCCGACAGAAAACGGCTGTTTGACTCCAACTGCAAAATGAGCTGCAAGCCCCCTCTCTTTGAAAAGGCATTTTAATAGTGGAGCGCACAAGGGAGAACTGGTTTCTAGGGGCCGTGCAGGACCGTACATGTCCCCACTGCCGGTGCCCCTCCCTCTCATTCCAGAAGTGTGACTTGAGCTTCTGTCACCTTGCTTCCAGGAAGCCCTGCAGAGCCTCTTCCTTAGGCTTGGCTAGAAAATCATCAGCTCAGCACCAATGCCTGCCTCCTGTCCTGCCCCCAGGTCTCACACAGGTTCGGAGAGGCAGAGGAGCAGTGGCAATGGCTGTGGAACAGGGCTGCCTCTTCTCCTCTCTCCAAAGCACTCCCTGGAGCGGCTCTGCTAGTTCAACCCGCTCACCAGCAAGGCCAAAAAGCCACCTTTGGCTGTCTAGACTAGGCTGGATGCTCAGGACAATTCAGACCTGTCAGCACCCTGCTGGTAACATCAAAGCACCAGGACCACAGATCTCCCTGTTCAGGGTACTGAGAGCAGGGGCAACGTTCTCCTCCCTTCATTAACATTTAACCTATTTGTGCCTGGAATCCAGATCTACCCGTAGCAATAGCCAAAGGTAAGAAACATTACTGGGCTGGAGAAACACAAATGAGCTCCTTGTTTTAGGTCGGAGAAGCACAAACCTTTGCCTCAGGAGGTTTAAGCTTAAAGCGCTGGGCTGGTAAGAGCATGCAGCCAGCGCCGAGCTGCAGCTCCTGAGAGGCTGGCCTGCTGGAGGGCGGGAAGCAGCCCGGGACCCAGCTTTGCACTATTCCAGTGCCAGACTAGGTTGTGTGTTTTACCAAACCACACATGCACACAGCAGGGATGCATACTGCACAGGGCTTAAGACTTGGGAGGGGAGGACTTGCCTGACTGCCCTGCCTGACTGATGGCTGAAAAAGTGTCATAGGACAGGAGCATCCTGTCCTGAGTGTCACTCCTGCTAGAGCTGTGCATCCAGGCACCAAGAGACCCGCTGGCTTTGCTCCATGTTCCCACAGCCCAGAGGGAAGGAAGCTGCCATTATGGGGGAAGGAGGGGAAGGTCAGGGTTCCCACTCTCTCAGATACCAAGGAAGGGTGCTTTTCCTTCAGTTTGCCTGAGTACTCCAACAGGCAGTGGGGGGAAAGGCTCCCTCCTCATCCTTTACAGCATTGTCAGAACATGCATCAAATACTCATCTATTCTGGGCACCGAGGCTTGGGCGCGTATGCCAAGCCACAGCCATCTGCCATGCTAAATCAGTCAGGTTTCGCTCTCGCTTGGACTGCCTCCCTCTTCCTGCTCTTCCTACTCCCCAAACTCGTAAAGAAAGCCTGCACACAGGCGCTTGTGTGGCTGTTCCCCACAACCACGCATCACGCTCGATGGCATGCAGAGGAGAGCAGGCTTGGCCCTCTAATAGGCAGGCCTAAGCAAGTGGCAAAAAAAAAAAAAAAGGGAAGAAAAAAAAGGCAAAAGAACACCACAGGAGCCAAAGCTCCTGGCAGGCCTAGCTTCCCTCTGCTACGTTAGCAGCAGAGTGACTTGGCAGGCGCAGGCAGGACTGAGCTGAACGTGGTTAGCTGCACCCTGTTGGGGTGCTGAGCAGGCTCTCTAGCTGGCTGTGGCTCTGTGTGACGGACAGAAGGGGAAGATATTCTCTCCTCAGCTGCAACAAAGCCGGGTTTGGCTTCTATCAAGGCCCTGGTGACACAGCTGGCAGCTGGGGGGGTTCTCAGTAGTTTTTCAGACAGCTGTTCTTCTCGCTTGCTAGAAGCACGCCGAGCTGGTGGCCTCTCCTGCTGACACCCACTACCCTTACTGATTCTGTTCCTGCGCAGCAGCTACTCACTTGCAGAAGTGATTAGGACCAGCAAAGAGTGAAGCCAGTAGTTCTAGCAGGGCTTGCACGTATCCTGGCAAATGCCACTAGCTGTTCCAGTGCAGAAACGCTGCATGAATGCAGGACTTAGACAAGCTCTCCTACCAGTCCTGTCCTGGGAGGGGCTGTTGAGGAGCAGCAACTAAAGGGTTACACCTCTGCAGCACCCCATACCCTGGGCCCTGCTCAGATGAAAAGCAAAGTGCCTCCCCCCCCATGCGTATGTAACCTGTGCAGCGCCTTGAAGCAAGGTTTTTGTACCCTGTTGGGGTGGGCCGTATGTACTTCAAGACTTTGTTTGAGCCTCTCTGCAGGAGGCCCCTGAGAAGAGATGAAAGGGACTGGTGGCTTGTTAGAGCAAGGGCTGCAAAGACCTTAACCCTTTCGCTCTCCTCGCAGTATAAACTCAGAACTGCAAGGTCTCCCTGTGCAGGGTATGCGCATGTGTAAAAATCCCTCCTTACGCCCTGCAGCTCAGAACAGCAAGCAGGGAAAGAGGAGACAACCCCTTTGTAGGGGAACCCTCAGATTGTAAAGGAGCCTTTGGCAACCAGTGCTGTCAGTAATGCCTTTCCCCTTTGCCCAGTTGCACTACTTACCATCTGAGTCACTGTCGTCTTCCAATTCTTCCTCGTCCTCCTCAATTTCGTACTCTCCCTCCTCTTCATCGTCATCCTCGCCATAGTCCTCCTTGCTGCTTTCTTCTGAACTGTCCTCTGGACTCTCCTTTGCTCCTGATGCCTGCTTGGCCTTGGCTTTACCTGTAATTATTTTTACTATGTAAATGGCATTACTCAATGCCATTGAGCAGCACTCAAGCACGCTTGCAGGCAGTGTACACAAAGGGCAAAGTACCACCATCCCTACTTTCATCCTCACGACTTCAGTCCTACACACACTAAAGGGGAAATTCAGCAGACAGTTTTTCCCGCCAGGTTTCCCCAGAAGTCATGTCCCCCTGCACTGGAGGTGCCCAGCTACAGGCCTACAGCAGGATATATATTATTTCAGAGGCATCTGCTAGAAGCCAGGAAGGCCAGAAGGCAAACAGAGATAGAAAAAGAAAGCTAGAAGAAGAGAGAGAACACAGCACACACTGAAAAGAAATAGGCCTACTGAACAGACATGAATGAGGAGCAGGAATAAGTCATGAAGCTGAGAGGAGAGAGGGTCTGGCTCCACCAAGAAATAGTGCCTGTGTATACCCCCTTCTCAGTGATCATATGCAGCTGCACAGGGCAGACCCTTTGGTTCAGGATATCCTTCTAAAATCTTGTTTCCCTGTATTAGTTACAACAGAAAGGTCTAGGAACAGGCATTACTGCAAACTCTTCTTGCAGATGGCTAGCCAGAGCCTCCAAGGGAGGCTGGGAGGAAGGGTGAAGAGCCTCTGGATGCTTGGCCTGTGGGAAAAGCATCTGCCCCTGAGCTGCTGGACCCAGACTCCTTTTACTAACATTGAGTTCACGTCAGTGGAGGAGAGCTTCTCCCTCTTCCTGAGCGTGCAAGTCGCCATGCGTTTAAACGACAGGATACAAATTCTGTCTAGAAGGGGCAGAAGAACCAGCCTCCTCTCGCCTCCTTCCAGCCGCCACCCGTGAGCTAAGCCCAGCTCACCGCCGCAGGCTGTCTACCCCTGCTCACAAAGCTCCTGAAGTCACTTATCCACACTCCCAGACTCTGCTTGGAAACTGGCTATACATCTTTCTCACATTGCGATTCTCGGGCCCCACGACAGCATCTATTTTTTGCCCCCATCCTCCCTCCTCAGCAGCTGACCTACGCTAGCCACTGAACTGGATACAAAGCCATTAATAAGTTGGTTGCTAGTGCTCTCGGCTCCCCGTCATCACCCTGCTCGCTCTCCTTTCACCAATCTGTCAGCTCTGCCAGCATATAGCTTCTGTGCAATTGCCCCCCCAGGGACTGGAAGCTACGTCTCAATGGATGGAGTCCGCACATGTGCTCGCAGCCACGCAGAGAGCACCCCCTCCACAGGAGATGGATTGCAGTGCTATTCACTGCACAAAATCATACTGATGGGCACCTGAGCAGCCTCTTGCTGCCCAGGCAACAGCTGAGGGGGGCATGCTCCTATCCATCAAGCAGTACTAGCAAAAGCACTGTCAGCACCAGCTCCCAGCTCCTCTGAGAGCACGCACAGAAACCAGCTGGGGATGGGAATTGCATATGAGGCCCTTGGGTCATTCCTACGTGTTATGACACAGGCAGCAGACCGCTAAGAGGAATGTACTAAGCTTCTCCAGCCTCCTGCCTCCCTCCTCCCCTAATCTCAGCCCCGACTGATGTACACAGGCAATCCCAGCCCAACACAATCTCCTGCAGAACTCAAGCTTGCCATCTTCTGAGGCGGAAGTCTCAACAGGACTCCAGGGCTCCAAATTTTCAGTGAGGTTCTACAGATACAAACTAGCTCCTCAGAAGGAAAGTCACAAACGTTCACCTCCTCACCAACAGCTGAATCCCTCTGCTGCAGCTGGAAACACCATCATCAGTGGCAGGCTCCCAAGGTGAGGGGACACCCCATAACCCGGAGTCCACTGGGCGTCTCGGGCGCACTAAGACGACCAAGCACGGGCAGAGCAGTGAACTCAACCTGCCACCTCCTGGGAAGCAGGCAACCCTCCTTCTAGAGATGGGTAAACTGAAGCATAAAGTAGCTTACCATTCCCATGGCTACTGTGCCACTTCTGCTGCAGAGCCTGGAGTGCTGTCAGCTCTCCTCTCTGCTCAGCGCTCACCGTTACACTTGGCTGGTGCAGGGGAAAGAAGCAGAGGAGAATCTGTATGGCTTGCACTCACTCCCACAACCACATGGACAACTCTAATCAGCCAAACCTGGGGCAGAAGCGAGAGCAGCGATGCACGAGCCAGAGAATGAAAATGCTCTCTTGCAGCCCCCCTGGCAAGACTTACCCCACGCAGAGGGCGGGCTCCAAGCCTCACCTCCAGGTCATTTCTCAAGAGATTTCTGGGGACAGTGCAAACCTTCCAGAAAGGCTTGGCTTTTACCTACTGGGCTGCTGCGTCATGCCTCCCAGGAACACTGGTGCTGGTGCCCAGCAAAAGCCAGCTACCTGAGCCCCGTAGGTGCCTCTGACAGTCCCTGACCAACGTTACAATTACATCTGTCAAATCAGAACCGCAAAGCCGTGTTCTCAGAAAGCCGTGCCAGGGCCCTCCTGCAGTACAAGGAGGGCAGGAGCACGGAGGGAAAGGAACCAATGGCAAGAGATGGACTAGGCAAGGGACACCTGGAGAAGACAATGCTTAGGGTGTTCCAGTTGTCCAGCGCCTCCCCTCTTCCTCCTCACTCTGCCTCTGGATCCCCAAGCTGACTGCACACAGCAGGAAATTTGCCACTGAGAAGGGCCATACTTATTCTGTTAGCAAATGAAAATGTCTGACCTCTCCTTCCACACTCCTGGCCCCCACCAGCCTGGCATGAAATTGATGTAATATGATTACGTGAGGGATAAATGAAGAAAGCTGTTCAAGTTCATTAGAGGCACACCAACACCTAATATGGACAGATCACTCATTATAGCCAAGCCCAGAGAGACGCTGCAGCCACACTCCCTCTCGCCTTTAATTGCCTCGTGATGAGGCAGTCCAGCACCTCTTTCCAAGCCATTAATAATTTCCAGGAGCAACCGCCTTTCCTCCCAGAGATCTGTCAGCTGGTAAATGAGAAGAATGCCTGAACTTCCCCACCCCCACCTCAGCACATCGATTGATCAAATCCACACTCTCTCCTCGCCAGCCCCTGGCTCTTTCCATGGTTGCCCTCCGGGTCGTTCCTGAGACGTGCAAACTTGTTTCTCCTCCCTCTTCAGACCTTGCAGAGACCCAAGCAAAGGGGGCCTCTCCTGCCTCCCTTCCAAAGGGCGGCTCACCTTGCCGTGACAGAACTCTTTGCAATATCCACCTTTCCTGCCCCCTCAGGGGAAGGGGA